CAGGTGGTCAGTATAGTTCTGTTTCTTTCTTTTCTTTTTTTTTCGGTCTATTCTTCAGTTTCTTATTTCGAAAATGAACAGCGGAGATAGATTTTTTAAGGCCCATTCTGATACTTTATATTGGATATTAGATGCCTGGGAAATTAAGTAGCCAACATGCCACTGGTTGGGTCTCAGTGTATATACCTAGATACTGTAAAAGCTGGGACTAAAACTGGGATTTCAGGCTGGTAATCTTTTCTCTGTACTAAGTCAATCAAGTTTTTTTTTTTTTTCCATGAGTCTACAACTTTGTTTCTTACATCCATATCTTAACCTCAAGAAGTTAATCTCCTTGCAGAAACAAGATGAATAGAAATACAGTAATGAAAACGGAGCTGACAATGGGTAATCCCTGATAACTTGAAAAGTCAAAATCAACTCTGTTCCCATGATGATTCCAAATGCAGATTTGGGAACTTAATCCAAGGGGCTTAATACAATAGCTGGTCTAGTCTGTGTGTTCTGAGTCAATATTTTCAGATTCTGAAGACAAAGGAAGTGAATAGATAGACAAGGAGATTGGAAGGAGAACAATGCTAACAAGGTAGAAGACAGAATTTGGGGTAAGAAGCCACATAGAGCAGTAGGAGTCAGACAGGGAGAAAATTGTTCTTAATGGCTTGGATACAAAGCGTTGTTAACTCCATAATCATTAAATCAATCTCTCTCTTTGTCTCTGTCTATATATGTACCTATATAGACATGTACATAATTTACATGTGTATGTGTGCATATATACATACATATATGTGTATCTATATATATATTACGCTCAAGGTTAACATATATATCTATGAAAATAAGTCTTTTTTCGTTTCTACTTCTCTGATGAAGGTAACCAAGGCTGATGTTTGATGCCTGACGAGGCATGGATTTAAAATGCAACTGACCTGGAGTTTTCAGTGCCTACAGGAAAAAGGAGAAAGCCCAAGCATCTGAGAGAGAAATAAAACCGATCCCAGATGATCATATAACTAATTCTTTAATCTTAAAGCAAAGGAATAGGAATAAAGGGTAATAAAAAACAAACACACACAAAAAAGCCTAGGGTCAATGAGGATAGCCCTTGAGGAGTTGCCAGGACTAATGAGCAGAGCTACATCCACCATTTGACGTTCAGTGACCCTCACTTTCAAAATGCCCAGGCACACCATTTACAGCAATTGGCAAATCCTTTATTTAAATCATAGATTTATAAGAATTACAATGAAATTAAACAGAAAAAATAGTATTTTCTATCTGTGTCTTTAAAGAAATCTCGTTGATGTAACATTTGCAAAAGTGTCTAGTGATAGGCCTGCCACATTTTTAGGAAGTTTTTGATGAGTGTTACTGTTTTTTCATCCTCTGCTTTCTTTTTCCTTCCTAAGATTTTTGCTGAGGACAACAAGATGCTCTCTTTCTGTTAAAAGAGAAGAAAACTTGGAAGAATTTAAAGCTTTTTTTTAGATAGTATAATCTAAAATGAAATATTTTGTCCATTTTTTACCATATTTGTCTAAATGGAAGCAGAGCTTTATGGGAGATGCCATGCATGTATTACCTATTTGATTCTCTGGCTTATGGCTTAAGGCTATAATTATTTAAATTAACACCTTTCTCCTGGTTCATTAGAAATATAAAATGTGAGACTTCATTTATACTTTGGATACTTAAAAATAAAAATAAATAAAATCTCACCATGATAAATTCTAACATCAAAGAAAATTACAGTTTTTCTCTTCTTAATTGAGAATATCAGAGAACCAAGATACTTACGTATGTGCTTTGAAATTATCACCTGAAGCAGTACCTATTAAGCTGTCTTGTCAAGTGCTGCTTGGCTTGCATTTTTAATAATATTTATGGTACCTTTGACTTTGTACAGACAAAGACTGCAAACTGTTTGGCTTATAACCTTGGAAAATGCTACTAATCCAAATCCTTTAACTTGCTAGCGGGGTCAGACGAGCATATATATGCAGAAATAGGTTTTCTATAAACAATTTAAAACCAAGGATTTGAAATCCACTTGTGTTTTGCTTTGTCAGACTATAGAAAATAAAATATTTTTTATCAAAAATAAGTTAGCATTTTTTATTTATTTTATTTTAAAGAGCATTTTGTAGGATTTTTTTATAATTTAATAAGTCAAAGCATATATATTTAGTTACTAATCTTAAATTACAGTAAATTGATAATTTTCACTGTTTTCATTTAGTTAGTTGATGTGCTCTTTTGCATGATATATTAATCATGACATTCAGAAGTTATGACATTCAGAATAAAGAGATTAACACTTAAGTCATTTCAGGATGAAAATATAGTTTAATCACAGAGTGCTAAACTGTAAAGCTGGTTTAGAAAATCAGAAGCTAAGTAAAGTTTATGTGTACACATTTTGAGAGAGGACAAAAATGAGATTAAATGGAAGAACTAAGACTTCGTATAACACCATAATGTGAAAGTTATTTGGCGAGATAAAATTGTGATGTCTGTCTCCCTTGTGAATTGAAGGGGCTCATTAGTTTTACTTGATTAGCACCTTTTACTTTTGTCTGTCTTGTGGCAGCTAGAAATTTGATAGGACCATCTGAGGTATATGAGTTATTTGCATCACTTGTGCTTCCACATGGTTTCATATCTTTATGAGTTGAACACAATCAAGAAATAATGCTCTATTTAATTTGATCTCTAAAGAAATGAGTTTCTATGGAGTTTATTATTATCTATAATACTTAATGTCTGAAGTCACAAATTCTGGAATTTTTAATAGTCAGTATGATTTCATTGATCTATGTGATTCAGGGACATTTAATGATTTAAAATCAAAATATATATAGTTTTTGTACATACAGATTCTATATGGGTGTAAATGATTTCTGAAGTTAAAAATCACATTTTTATATAAATAATAAAAATTTGGTCCTATATTTTTTCAGGAAGTGGTTACAGTACATTTTGATTCTTGAAACTGGAGTATTTTACTAGGAAAGAGATAAGTTTATATTCATTCTTTGACCAAATAACATTTTACAAAACATAAAGCATATTTGACTTTTCTACATCCTATATCTCTCCAAAACTCTTAAGATCATTATGCATGGAAGACTGTATTATTAAGAAAGAATATGTTCCCGGGATATAACAGGAAGTCATTTAGTACTTGAAATGACAAAACTGTCCATATAACCTACAATTTCTATCTTTATTTTATATCTGTCTGTGTGCTTATGGAAACCCTGGTGGCATAGTGGTTAAGAGGTATGGTTGATAACCAAAAGGTCGGCAGTTTGAATCCACCAGGCACTTCTTGGAAACTCTATGGGACAGTTCTACTCTGTCCTATAGGGTCGCTATGAGTCGGAATTGACTACATGGCAATTTTTTTTTTAATTGTACTTTAAGCGAAAGTTTACAATTCAGGTCAGTTTCTCATACAAAAATTTACACACACATTGCTATGTGACCCTAGCTGCTCTCCCTATAATGTGACACCACACTCCTCCTTTCTACCCCGGATTTCCCATGTCCATTCAACTAACTCCTGTCCCTTTTTGCCTTCTCATCTCACCCCCCGTACAGGAACTGCCCATTTAGTCTCATGTATCTACTTGAGCTGAGAACTTTCTTCACGAGTATCATTTTATGTCCCATAGTCCAGTGTAACCTTTGTCTGAAGAGTTGGCTTCAGGAATGGTTTCAGTTCTGTTCTAACAGAGAGTCTGGGGGCCATGACTTCTGGGATACCTCCAGTCTCAGTCAGACCATTAAGTCTGATCTTTTTACTAGAATTTGAGTTCTGCATCCCACTTTTCTCCTGGTCTGTCAGGGGCTCTCTGTTGTGTTCCCTGTCAGGGCTGTCATTGATGGTAGCCTGGCACCATCTAGTTCTTCTGGTCTCAGACTGATGGATTCTCTGGTTTATGTGACCTTTTCTGTTTCTTAGGCTAATGTTTTCCTTGTGTCTTTGGTGTTCTTCATTCGCCTTTGCTCCAGGTGGGTTGGGACCAATTAATGTATCTTAGATGGCAGCTTGCTAGCTTTTAAAACTCCAGACACCTCTCACCAAAATGGAATGCAGAACATTTTCTTAAAAAACTTTGTTATACCAGTTGACCTAGATGTCCCCTGAAACCATGGTCCCCAGGCCCCCACCCCTGCTACTCTGTCCCTCGAAGTGTTTGGTTGTATTCAGGAAACTTCTTAGCTTTTGGTTTAGTCCAGTTGTGCTGATTTCCCTTGTATTGTGTGTTGTCCTTCCCTTCACCTAAGATAATTCTTATCTACTATCTCGGTAACAGGTTTTATGTGCTTATATTTATAGCTAAATCTATGAATAAACATAGAGTTATCCAATTTGTAAAAGATGAGCAAATGGTTTCAATGAGATAAATATCTATTTTTAATTTTAAACTAATGGATTTTCTTTCAAATTTTATTGCATTGATGTGTTATTTATAACATGATAGAATTAACAAATTACTGTGGATTCATATGTGATATTTTTCTACCTTCTTTACCAAGTTTACTGGTCTTTTTTCTTAATGTTTTCTTTTTTTTTTTTTAATCGTACTTCCTTTTCCTTTCAAAAATTTTCTACCTGTTCATTTATATACTTAACTTTCTTTCAAATATACAAAATTTTCTTTCTCCGCTCCTTGTTGGCCTCACTCACATTCAATTTTCTTTTCTTTTTACTGTGAAATACTTAATTTTTTTTCTGGGTTATAGCATTCATATATGTTTGCCCTTGAATTACCTTGAAGACACAGAAAAACATGATTAATTTCTTAATTTAAAAAGGGAAATCAAAGTTTTTTTGGTGATTCTCTCTACATAGCTCTCTGTCCTATTAATATATACCAAGGCTATAGAAATTTATAAATCTGAATTACTTTTCTCTGATTATTTCTGCTAATATTCCCTGGCCATTTTCTAATTTTTGAATTTTTATCTTTCTGTTTTATATTGTGTAGTGGGAAGAGATTGGTGAAGTTGATGAAAATTATGCCCCCATTCACACATACCAGGTATGCAAAGTTATGGAACAGAATCAGAATAACTGGCTTTTGACCAGTTGGATCTCCAATGAAGGTGCTTCCAGAATCTTCATAGAACTCAAGTTTACTCTGCGGGACTGCAACAGCCTTCCAGGAGGACTGGGGACTTGTAAGGAAACTTTTAACATGTATTATTTTGAGTCAGATGATGAAAATGGGAGAAACATCAAGGAAAACCAGTACATCAAAATTGATACCATTGCTGCCGATGAGAGCTTTACAGAACTTGATCTTGGTGACCGTGTCATGAAACTGAATACAGAGGTCAGAGATGTAGGACCCTTAAGCAAGAAGGGATTTTATCTTGCGTTTCAAGATGTGGGTGCTTGCATTGCTCTGGTTTCTGTTCGCGTGTACTATAAAAAATGCCCTTCTGTGGTACGGCACCTGGCTGTCTTCCCTGACACAATCACTGGAGCTGATTCCTCACAGTTGCTTGAAGTGTCAGGCTTTTGTGTCAACAATTCGGTGACAGATGAACCGCCCAAAATGCACTGCAGCGCTGAAGGGGAATGGCTGGTGCCCATTGGGAAATGCATGTGCAAGGCGGGATATGAAGAGAAAAATGGCACCTGTCAAGGTAAGGCTTTGCCTGTGGGCTGTCTGCTTCAGTTGGATTATGTTTATGTATTTTCTTCAATGATTATGAGCAAATGACCTTTTACTTTGCTAATTTATGGAGATTATTTCTCTTCAAGTTTGATTTTTCTCTTCTTAGAATTTTAAAATTTCTGGCAATGATGAAAGATTTATTGTGATATTTTATTGCCTATGCATAATTAATACTCAGCATCTTACTTGCAGTGCAATATTTTATATTCATTTTGTTCTTAAAAGTTTTGGTTTTGAACAACCCAAATAAGAACTTTCTTTGTCTGACTGCTTTCTTTGTATGACTACTGAGGTTTTCTCTCTATGAAGTCATTTTCTGCTCTGTACTTGCTGTATAAAACTCTAATGCAAATCTTAGATGAGGATTGCTTTTGCATGCTCTTAACTGCCTTTTTAACAATTCTTCAGAAATAAACTCAGCTATATGAACTCCACAGCAAAACATTTGTAGACTGACAAGACATAGTTTACTGCATTGTTTACATATGATTGTTGTTACATGCTCAATTTTTAAAATTCACGGGTCAATTTGAAATGCACAATAAGTAGTGTCCTAGAGAAATAATGGCGATAAAGCCAAGACAGAAAGGTCATTTCAAAGCAATTTTCACTTGGAGATTTTTTTTCTGCTCTAATTTTTCTTTTAAACTCAAACTTGATCATGCCTACTTCCCTCTTTCTATGAAAATTCTCTCAATTTGTCCACAGTGTGGTGAGTTGCCCTTTTAAACTTTGATATTTATCAATGGAACGGAATAGCACTTTATGCCAATGTGAAGAACAATGTATGGGGAAGAAAACAAATGATGTTCGCTTTAAAAAACATGTATATGTTTTCACTCTGATGTACACTTGCTAAATGGTAATGCAAGTTAACGTGTGTTATCTGAGGAGGAAACCAACTGCTGAGAAATCTTCGTCCCATCTGGCAGCTTCAGGTGCATTTTTTAAAGAAATAAATCCAGTTTATGCCCTGAATCAAACTTGCTCAAGTTTGTTGAGGCTTGACTGTAGATTGATTATAGATCCAGGGAAACAAAACTAGGGAAATTAGCTGTAAATCACAGTAGCTTTGCTTAATTATTTCTCTCCTGGAACACATTGTACAGTACTTAAATTTCCTTTTTTCAGCATCAGTTCGCATTTTTTATCCCTATAATACCATCCACAACTAATTCTATGGTTGTTATTCCATTTAATCTACAACCCAGTATACCTGGTAATATTAATATATATCTGAGAGCTTTGTTAAATTGAAATTGTGTTTTTGAAATACTCTTAAGTTTGTCAGAGATATGGATCATATTTTGTTTGGGACTGAATTTAAAAGAAAATTCTAACATTATCAACTGTTTTTTTAGTCGTTTTCATGTTTTAAAATGAAGATATGTGTAATCATAGAATCAGAAGGAGGAGTTAAATATAATCTGTTGAATACATTTCAGTCTTTTGCTTATAATATTTTTAAAATAAATTTTATTGATTATCTCTAATGTTTTGACTGCTAGTGTCACAAAGCAACATGCTCAATTTGCTTGTATTTTTGCATTGCTAGAAGATAAATTTTGATGCTGGGCTTGAAACATTCTGCTAGTGCTCATCATAAAAATATCTTGGGGAAAATAGTGTTCTGACAGAATGTTTTTAGTGCAAGCACTTAACACGAATCCTCTCTTTCTGTCTTCACACTCTTCTCTTAATAATCGAGTGGTGAAGACCCAGCTGAGTGACAGTGGACAAACTGGAGAGACTGCACTGTAGAAATCATTAGTAAAATGGACTCAGTCTTAATCCATCCATTTCACTCCTGTAGTACGAGCAACAGCTGTGGGGATCATGCAGGCTGTGGACTACACAGCCCCAGAGGGTGTCATACACAATGTAGTCTATGTGGACAGTGCCTCCTTATGTTCTGCAATGTACAAATGGTATGTGGCCCCTTTAGGAGGGATTTCAAAATGTTTATTTTATAAATAACTTGACAGATTGACTATCTCATTGAATGAATGAAAAAATGATTGAGGTGTGCTTTGAAGAATTATAGTGTCACAGGTATTCTTGAGGCCTTTATATCTATATGAGGTGGTTGTTGTTAGTTGCTGCTGAGTCAGTCCTGACTCATGGAGACCTTACGTGTAACAGAATGAAATGTTGCCCAGTCCTATGCCATCTTCATGACAATTGCTATGTTTGAATCAGTTGTTATGGCAATTGTGTTAATATATCTCACTGAAGGTTTCCCTATTTTTCATTGACCCTCTACTTTACCATTATACATAATACGTATATGTAAAAGTAAACATATGCGAATGTGTATGTGATATAAAATACCACCAGACTCTAACCTTAATGTGCTATCTTTAATCTTTTAAGTGGGGGTCTTAATTTTGTGAGTCAGAATCAACTCAATGGCAGTGGGTTTGCTTTTTATTTATGTATTTATTTACTTAATTTCATACTTCTTAATGCTTAAACGTTCGGCTGCCTACTTAAGGTTGGTGATTAGAACCCACTCAGTGGCTCCATGGGAGAAAAACCTGGTGATCTGCTTCTATAAAGATTACATCCAAGGAAACTTTATGGGGCAGTTCTACTCTGTCACATAGGATTGCTATGAGTTGGAGATTGACTCCATGGCACCTGACAACAACAACAACATACTTCTTGATAGGCCAGAAATCATTCTTGACATCTTCTTTATACTCACTACTCAGTTCTAATCCATCATAAAGTATTTAGCCATGTCTTAAAATCATCCATTTCCCTCCATTTGTTGTTTCCTCCATCTACAACCATACTTTGCTGGAACTTTATTTTCAAATATAATGAATGACTTCATATATAGATCTGATTTTTGTACCATGTGAATGTACCACCTATTAAAAAATGCAAATCTGGTTGTTCTACACACCCATCCAGCTGCTTCTTCCACATGCACACTTTACACACTTCAGCAACTTCCTTTAAGACAAGTACTTTACAATAGCCTAAAGCTCTGCATGGTTTTGCCCCTCTAATCTCTCCAGACTCAACTTAAACTGTGCTTCCTACTCTTCTCCCTGACCTAGCCACACTGGTCTCTGGTTTCCTCTATTTTTCAAAGGCAATTTGCTTTCTCTCACTACTTGTTCTTCTCTGATTCAGTTCCCTCCCTGTGGAACACTCTTCTATCTTCTTTTTGCCGTGTTAACTTATTTTAATCCTTCAGATCTTCAAACCAACATCCCTTCCTCAGAGAAGCTTTCCCTGTCCCTTCAAGACTAGGTTAGACCTCTCTTTCGTATATTCATATGTAACATCGTATAACCAATTAGAGTTACAATTTTATATCTACTTGTTGATTTATTATCTGATTAATGACTCTTCCCACCCTCATTGGACTGCACTCTTCTTGATGTCTGTTATCTTAAGAAACAAAAATAAAATCAGGAGGCTAAAGGAAGGCAAACTGAATTCAAGAAAGAGGAAATAGAATGTGCAAAGGCATAAAAAAAATACTTTTCTAAAAATTATTGTTGTTGGTTTTTTCAAAGTTTTATTTGTCTGTGGAAAATCTCCTTAGTCACACACTTGATAAACATTTCTTTGGAATGAATCTGTTCTTAGTTCTAAGATTCTCAGGCCAAATTTTCAAGTTTCAGATATTAAATCATATGTGATTGGCACTTCATATGTTAAAGATTATAGAGGCCATTCTAGTGAATTTTGTAGACCCTCAAAACATCACATATTGAAATGTGTTTATAATATAGCCTTACCATATATTGAAATTTAATTATCAGTCTTTGAAAAATCAAACTATATTGGGATTTAATTAAGGATATAATTATATTGAGAAGCTGAAATTTGAGTAAATCTGTTGTAATAATTATCGTATATTAATATTTACCGAGTCTGTGCTGGGTAGTTGCTGTCAGATCGTGCCCATACGGCCTGTTATACGTGCAGGACATGACAGAGGTGACCCAGCTGCTTTTAGAGACTGATCCTTCAGGGTTCAGAACATTTAGCAGTTCATTAACGTATGACCTTCGCCCAGAAGACAAACAAGCAGTGATTCAGGAGTCCCTGTTCATTTAGCAATTCATGCTCTGCCATCTTCATGACCTCTCTTAAAACTTCTTTTAAGAGAAATTTACTACCTTTCTGATAATAATGTGTCTTTGATGAGGTAACAAATTATGCTGGATTCTATTGTATTAACTTAAAATATAGTATACACTTATTTGTATAAGGCTTACTTATATGCCTGAATTTTCTATAATAAATTGCATTAAGTATACAAATTTATTTCTTTGAAATGTTCTTTATTTTTCAGAAACAAATAATATATTAAATTCTGTTTACTCTATTATGGTCCTCTATTTGCTATTTGTTATTATTCCTGATGAAATTCATGCTGATTTTTTCTTAAGAGCCATATGATTTTTTTTTTTTGAGTACAAAATTCTTAGCAAAAACCCATTTTAGAAGTTTCTGCTTTTTATTGAAGTGACTGTGTTTGACAGAAGAAATTGAATTCACATGAATCAAATGTTGCCTGCTGAGTTCTCTTGTGATTATGTTGCTTACTTACTCAGATGTAAGGCAAGACCACTAATCTTCGTCAGTTGCTAGTGGAATGAAGTAGTAATTTGAAATTACCCCTAGATAATTACAGTTTCACTTATATCAAACGGAGGAAAGAGATTTAGATTGTGGGTCACTGCCAAAACCAGTCAGAATGAAGAAGGTATATAGTGCATGCTAAAATACAGGGTAAGGGGGGGTTACATGCTGAGGGCTGTGGAGAAAAAGCACTTATTAATTGTCCAACTGGGAGATGACTGCACAGCAAGGAAAATGTAGTGAAAATACCAAGCTTAAGAAAGAGCCTTGATTCAGAAACAGTACAGATACAGCAGGGAACAGTATGTCGATCATTCATACTTCTGGTGCATATTTATGATTGAAACAAAATTGGCTGGA